TGAATACTGTAGGCTTAATGACCATTACGTAAGCACTGGAAATGATTAAAAAAGGCATTTGTATGGTAATAATAATAAATCAAATACAGCTAGTATTTACTTCACAAAAATTCTGCAGTTCTAAATCAGAATTCTAAGAGACTTGTGCAAAATAGTTACCCTTCTTCAAATAAAAATATAAAATGTTATTTCACCCATTCGCATTAAATTCTAGTTAAAACTAAATTGAGGAGCTCACGGATGGCCTACTGAACAAAGCAGCAATTGAGTGTTAAAAAGACTTATAGAAAGTTACTGTTCAAGAGTCTGGGCTGAGCTACCTGATGGTGATTGATTTCTGCATGTGTCAGACACACAACTGACCCCCAAAATGGTTGCACAACACAAGATATCACAAATATAAATTGTGAACATGCAAAAATGTGACGTGCTTTTTTGTTCCCCCAAAGTCCCGTTTGAGTAAAAGCACCAAGCGTGCATACACCTGAGATTTCCAACAACTCATTCAGAGCAGCAAAAACAGCCTAGGAGAACCGGCTTGACTCGGCCTGTGGATGGATTTCCCAACTCTTCCTGCAAGATGCGGATTCCTCAGAACTCTGGGAGCTCCTCAATTTAGTTCTGTTTTCTCCCGCAACCCCCCCATCCTCACCCAGCTTCACTGCCTCCCCATCTCCCACAGGATCCAGTTTGAGATCCTTGACCTCACGTTTAAGCCCTGCAGTCTGGCTCTTCCCGATCTTTGCGAACTATCATTCCTTACCATCCTGCCCGCTCGGCGAGCACTGGCCTGGGCACTGGCCTGGGCTGCCCCACCGCTGGGAGTCAGGCCTTTCTACCCTATTCTCCGGAAATCCATCCCAGAATCCCTGTCTGTCACCCTCACCTCCTTCAAGGCCCATCTCCCTTCTGAACCCCCATCTCGGGTGTAAACCCTCGTCTGTAGCCCCTCGGGACGCGCTGCCTGTGTAAATTGTTCGCTTGTGGTCGGGAAAGACCAGGAAGATCAAAAGATTCAGATAACAAATTAATGAAGAGCGAAGAGCAGAGAGCGAGAGAGCACGAGGGGGGACTGGGGGAGAGGGGGGGGGTAGGGGGAGAGAGAGTGGGGGTAGGGGGAGAGAGGGGGGGGGGGGCAGAGGGAGGGAGGGGCAGAGGGAGGGAGGGGGGGGCAGAGGGAGGGGGGAGGGGGGGGCAGAGAGAGGGAGGGAGGGCAGAGGGAGGGAGGCAGAGGGAGGGAGGGGGGAGGGGGGAGGGCAGAGAGAGGAAGGGGGGCAGAGGGAGGGGGAGGGGGGGCAGAGGGAGGGGGTAGAGGGAGGGGGGGGCAGAGGGAGGGGGGTAGAGGAGGGAGGGGGGAGGGAGGGGCAGAGGGAGGGGCGGTAGAGGGAGGGAGGGGGGAGGGGGGGGCAGAGGGAGGGGGGGTAGAGGGAGGGAGGGGGGAGGGGGGGGCAGAGGGAGGGGGGTAGAGGGAGGGAGGAGGGGAGGGGGTCTGAGACATGACGGTGAGGAGCCGCTCTCGGGCCGCGACACTTACTTCCGTTCCAGCCTCAGGTTAATGATCCGCGTCACCCGTGGCCATGACAACCGCGCAGACTCACTGTGAGCCACGCAATCCGCACAGCAGCTCCTCCCGCGAGCGACGAGCGTATCATATCAGCCCGTGTGGGGCCCGGCCCTGACCCTGACCCGTGTGGGGCCCGGCACTGACCCTGACCCGTGCGGGGCCCGGCACTGACCCTGACCCGTGCGGGGCCCGGCACTGACCCTGACCCGTGCGGGGCCCGGCACTGACCCTGACCCGTGCGGGGCCCGGCACTGACCCTGACCCGTGCGGGGCCCGGCACTGACCCTGACCCTGACCCGTGCGGGGCCCGGCACTGACCCTGACCCTGACCCGTGCGGGGCCCGGCACTGACCCTGACCCGTGCGGGGCCCGGCACTGACCCTGATCCGTGCGGGGCCCGGCACTAAACATAACATGTAGGAGCAGGAGTAGGCCATTCGGCCCTTCGAGCCTAACCCGTCATTCAATCATGGCTGATCTTCTACTCTTAACTCCAGCTAATAACCTGACCCTGCCTTATCCCCATATCCCTTAATCCCTTTTGCAATAAGAAATCTATCTATCTCAGTCTTGAATATGTTCAAGGACTGAGCGTCAACAGCCCTTTGGGGTAGTGAGTTCCATACATTCACTACCCTTTGAGTGAAGAAGTTCTTCCTCAACTCAGTGCAAAAGGGCTGGCCTCTGATTTTAAGGTTGTGACCCCTGGTTTTAGTTTCTCCAACCAGGGGAAACAATCTCCCACTATCTACTCTATCATGCCCTTTGATGATCTTATAGCTTTCTATAAGATCCCCTCTAATTCTTCTATATTTTAGAGAATATAGGCCCAAATTGGTCAGCCTATCCTCGTAACTCATCCCCTTCATCCCTGGTACTAACATAGTAAATCTACGCTACATCCTTCCTTAAATGAGGAGACCAAAACTGGACACAGTATTCCAGGTGTGGTCTCACCAGGGCCCTATATAGTTGCAGCAAGACTTCCCTACTCTTATACTCTAATCCTTTCATAATGAATGCTAACATACCGTTCGCCTTCCTAATTGCTGCTGCACTTGCAGACTAACTTTCTGTGATTGGTGTACAAGGACACCCAAGTCCCTCTGGACGCTAACACATTCCAATCTCTCCCCTTCTAAAAAATAACCCGCTCTACTGTTTTTGCTACCAAGGTGGATGACTTCGCACTTCCCTACATTATACTTCATCTGCCACCTACCTGCCCAATCACCTAACCTATCTATGTCGCACTGCATTATTTTAATGTCGTCCTCTGTGTTGACACTTCCTCCTAGTTTTGTGTCATCCGCGAATTTAGATATATTAATTTCGATGTCCTCATCTAGATCATTGATGTAGATAGTAAATAGCTGAGGCCCAAGGACTGATCCTTGTGGCACTCCACTAGTCACATCCCACCAATCTGAAAAGGACCCGTTTATCCCTACTCTTTGTTTCCTACCTGTTAACCATTCCCCAATCCATGTTAATATGCTCCCCCCAATTCCATGGGCCCTTATCTTTTGGACTAACCTTTTATACGGCACCTTATCGAATGCCTTCTGGAAGTCCAAATAGACCACATCCACTGATTCACCCTTATCTAGTTTACTGGAAATATCCTCAAAAAATTCTATGAGATTTGTCAAACATGACTTCCCTTTTGTAAAGCCATGTTGACTTGGCCTAATTATATTGTGCTCCTCTAAATACCGCACTACCACATCCTTAATCAATGATTCTAAAATTTTTCCTATCACTGATGTGAGACTAACTGGCCTATAGTTCCCCATCTTTTCCTTTCCACCTTTTTTAAATAGTGGTGTGACATTTGCGATCTTCCAATCCATGGGGACTGTTCCAGAATCCAAGGAATTTTGGAAGATCAGACATAAGGCCTCCACTATCTCATAAGCTACCTCTTTTAAAACCCTGGGATGCAAGCCATCCGGACCAGGGGATTTGTCACTTTTTAGTGCTAACAGTTTCCCTAGCACCAATTCTCTACTAATGAAAATTTCCCTAAGTTGCTCCCTGTCCTTATCCCCTTGGTGCATCTCTATTGTTGGCAGACTTGTTGTGTCTTCTAGGGTGAAGACAGATGCAAAGTACCCATTTAGGGACTCTGCCATGTCCTTATCCCCCATTACAACTTCTCCCGTCTCTAACTGAAGTGGACCTACATTTACCCTCACTAGCCTATTCCTCTTAATATATTTGTAAAAACTTTTACAACCTGACTTAATGTTCCTAGCTAGCTTGCCCTCAAACTCCTTTTTCTCGCTCTTAATGAGTTTTTTAGGTTTATTTTTGCTGGTTTCTAAAACTCTCCCAATCTTCAGATTTGCAGTTTTATAAGCTTTTCTGTTTAATTTGATGCTTTCCCTAACTGCTCTAGTTAGCTACGGATGACTTGCTTTCCCTGTGGTACTCTTATTCCGCAAGGGAAAATGCGACCGCTGAGAATTATGCACTACAACCTTAAATATTTGCCACTTGGTCTACATTTTTACCTCTTAATTTTATTCTCCAGTCTATTTTACCTAAATCTTTCCTCATACCTACAAAATTAGCCTTATTTAAATTCAGAATACTTGCCTCGGATTTAACTATATCCCTCTCTAACTTAATGCAGAATTCAATCATATTGTGATCACTCTGCCCTAGAGGAGTCTTAATACCTACACTGCCGACTAGCCATTTCATTACACAAAATAAGGTCTAGGATGGCCTGTCCCCTAGTTGGTTCCTCGGCATGCTGCTCTAGAAAGTTATCTCTTATACACTCAATGAACTCTTCTTCTAACCTACTTTTGCCGATTTGGTTTTCCCAATTTACGTGGAGATTGAAATCACCCACTATTATCGCTTTAACTTTCCTACATGCTCAACTGATTTCCTGATTAATACCTTGTGCTATATTGTGATCACTGTTTGGAGGTGTATAAACCACTCCCATTAATATTTTCTGCCCCCTATTATTTTTTATTTCCACCCACTAACTTGTGCTGGGGATCAGCACTAACACTAATCTGTGCTGGGCTCAGCACTAACACTAACCTGTGCTGGGGATCGGCACTAACACTAACCTGTGCTGGGGATCAGCACTAACACTAACCTGTGCTGGGGATCAGCATTAACACTAACCTGTGTTGGGGATCAACATTAACACTAACCTGTGCTGGGAATCAGCACTAACACTAACCTGTGTTGGGGATCAGCATTAACACTAACCTGTGTTGGGGATCAGCATTAACACTAACCTGTGCTGGGGATCAGCACACTCACGCTTACCTGATGTTTGAATTTTTTTAATTAACAAGTCAAAGAAAGAAAAGATAAGTATCCTTTAGGGATGTCAGTGCTTTTTATATCTTATCTGTAATTTTCCACATATTCCAATCCCAAGACTGAAATTTGTACAGTACAAAGGTTGAATGTGCAATCACATTTTAATTGGGAGTATAAATTTTTACATGTTAAAATATGTACAAATCGAAGCATGCAATCAATTTACATTACAGGACAACAAATCTAAACTAATTAGTAAAACCTGTTGAATCAACCATCTTTACTCAGCAAACAACCACCCTGGAACAATCCCGATCAATTTTCCAAAATAAACCACCTCTATTCCATAATCAACCACCTGTCTAGAGAAATAAGTGGCTACTCTTATTTTGTCCGGTTAGTGTACCTTTTTAACAGCCTGTTCTAAGTGAATTAAAGTTTACTTATTGGGAATGCATCACCAATTTCCATGGGCCCAAGTGTAGACTCCAGCTAGATTCTAGCACATTTACCCAGGTCACACTGAGCAGCCTATGTGATGCCGTGAGGCGATGTTGGAAAACGTGCTAAGAGTCTAGTGGGAATCTTCATCAGGGCCCATGGGAATTAAAAAAAGTCAGGCCCGGTTAATGAACCCTTACTCAAAGGCCACCCTTACATATAGACAACTTTAGTCCAGTTCCCTGAATCTTTGCTGAAAACAGGTTTGAGTATATCGCATTAACTTGTAATCTATACGAATAAAGACAAAACGTCTGTGTCTGTCCACCAAGAATGCAATAGCCGATTGACACAAACATGATTTATACCTCATCAGAAAGGTCTTGCATGGGGGAGTATCACGGACATTTTTGGGGGGTATCTCCTATCGTTGATGAGCTATGACCTAAACAAGCTCATCACACATGTATGGCAGTTTTTCTTAAGGTTACAGTGTTTATGGCATGTTAAATGGTTTGCGCATGGTATCGCTGAAATCTACATTCCATATTGGATCCTTTGGTTGCAGGCATAGCTGCAACCGGTACAGCTAGTACAAAATAAATCTGAGATTTATCATGCATGTGTGAAGTATAACTTCATATTCAGAGTATTTTTCCGATATTTCTATGAAAATTGCAAGGATTGGGATTGTATAGAATATTGTTCACAGAGGCAGAAAAATAACAACTCTCATGAACCATGTAAGTCAATTCCAGCGACTTGGGACATCCTCCCGACATGAAAGGTGCTTTACAAATGTAATTTTTGTTGCAGAACTGGAACACTTTGCTTCTGGAACATCAATTTCAGCCTTTATTTCCAGCAATATTCAAATGTTCTCTTTCAGCATCTTTCAGATATGGACTGATAATATCATCATAACTACTCTTGACTAATATCAATAATATCAATAACTCAATCTAGGCAACTCAAGAGTGCCAACTATTCTCTTCTCCCTGTTTTCCTTTTCCCACCTTGTCCTGTTCACCTTAGTCCCCTTCCTCTCTTTTACTGCTCCCCAAAGGGTCAGTCAAGAATTCAAAACAGTTGAAAGTAATGGCATTCTATGAATGTTTACTCCTTCGACACCCTTGGGAGAAAAGGTTCACCAGCAAGATGACAGGAGAGTGCACCTGCTGGTATTGTTCCATATTTTCAACTTCCGAGCCCAAGGCCCAACAACACGCATCTGCTAATACTGGTAATTGACTCTTCGACAGGATGCCAATATTCTAATATTGTAGCTGCTCAATTCAGCAGGTGTCAATGTTTTCCATTTGTAACAGTGAGCTCATGTAGACTCAGTTACTCAATTTTCCACGGTATAATCTGTCCAGCTTTTTACTAGCTGATTTTCTTCTTCAGAAGACTGTAGTTGTCCAGGATCCCAGGGGATGCAGGGTCAAGTTTAAGGGCTATTTCATAGTGTGTCTTGGCCAGAACAAGTTTTCCCCAACGATGGTAAAGCACAGCTGTAACGGAAACATTTTCTTTCAACTACAATTTGCATTTTTATGGCATCCTTCACATAGGATAATGTCTCAGAACACCTCACAAGGATTTTATGGGACGCAAGCAAGGGAGGATGAGAGGTAAGGTGACCAAAGTCACAGCTGAAGAAATAAGTTTTCAGGTAGAATTAAAGGCAGATAGAGGGGGACAAGAACAAAGGATTTAAGCAGGGTGAGAGTAGTTGCTGAAGGCTCGGTCATTGATGGTGGGGCAGAGGAAAAGCAGCAGAGCCACATTTGCCAAGGAGAGGGGCAAGCAGAAGAGGGGTGGGAGAAGATGACAGAGATAGCGAGTCGTGAGACGTGAAGGGATTTATGGATGCAGGTGAGTATCTTGAAATTGATCTATTGGGAAAGTTAGACAGTTGATGGGTATATAGAGATTGGTGGGACAAACCGTGTTAAAATATAATTTGTTTGCGTACTGGTTAGTGCAGTGGGATAGAATTGATAAAGGAAGTACAGGTACACTATTATAGTAAAGGATAGATGGATCTTCTGGGGTTGTGGCAGTATTGCCTTGAGCAAATGTTGTCATAGCACTATGCTGTTGGTTGAAACCCCATGTCAGGACTTTGAACTCATAGTCTTGGCTGACACTCTAGTGGAGTGTTGGGGAAGTGTTGCATTGTGGGTACTGTACTGACATCCTTTAGATGAGATAATAATAGTAATCCTTGCATTTGATATAGCATCTTATTACATCTTCGAGACGTCTCAAAGCACTTCACAGAATATACTGTAGTGAATTGACTGTATATTTTGTGGGCGAAACGCAGCAACCAATTGCGCACAGCAGTGTCCCACAAACAGGCGTGAATTTAGTGACCAATTTTTTTTTGGAAGGAATTATTACCCCCAAAAGTGATTTGCCAATCGACTAACAACCGGGTTCCTACTTACCGCTAGGTAAGCAGAGGCGTGTGGAGTAAGGAAACTTGCCCAACGTTTTGCCGTGCTGGGAGTCAAACCCAAGTTTCTCGCTTGCGAGGCCAGTGGTCTAACCACTGAGCTACAGGACTCCACTGAGATATTAATTAATAACAACTTGCATTTATGTTGCGCCCCTCAAGCAGGATAGTGTTTCAGAGTGCTTGGTCCTTGTCTGCCTGTTCGGGTGGATGTTAAAGATCGCATGGCACTATTCAAAAAGAGAAAGGTCAACAATCCCTCAGATAAAATTGAATATTCACCTCATAACTGTTTGTGGGATATTGCTGTATGCAAAGTTGGTGCCTTGTTACACCTACAAATATGTAGTCACACTTCAGGGTAAATCTTAAGAGACATCTTGATGACCATGATCAGGCACTATATAAAGATTATTTACTGCAGATTCACTGGAGCAAATGTTGAATCTCACTGGTGCCTTACTCACTTTTTCTATCATACTTTGTCATTCTTTCTTCCAACATCGCTTCATGACCTCAATAATAATAATAATAATCCTTGCATTTGATATAGCGCTTTTCACGTCAGGAGGACGTCCCAAAGCGCTTCACAGATCACACTGTAAAGTGAATTGACTGTATATTTGTGGACGAACGCGGCAGCCAATTGCGCACAGCAATGTCCCACAAACAGTCGTAGATTGAAAATGACCAATTTATTATTGTTTTTTGTTTTGGAGGGATTATTATTAGGCGTGTGGAGTAAGGAAAGTTGCCCAAGGTTTCGCCCTGCCTGGAATTGAACTCAGGTCTCTCGCTTGCAAAGCGAGTGCTCTAACCACTGAGCTACAGGGCTATAGGTTGAGCCTAACCGATGGTGTTTATACTATTATTTGGAACCAACCAACAACTTGCATTTATATAATGCCCTCTCAATCCTTCTCTCAATCCCTATCTCTCTCCCCTACCTCTCTCTCACCCCCACAGTCTACCCCTCCCTTCCCTGTCTTCCCCTCCCCGTCCTCTCCCTCTCCCAATCAGTGGCAGGAGTCGGCAGTTGCTAAGGACACAGTGGATAAGGAGACGCGCTTGCTTTCCCCTCAGCTCCAGTACACACTGCAGCAACGGCCGGCATTATTTTCATTCTCGGTGCTGTGTCTTACCAAAAAAGCTATCGAACACAGAATGTTTATATATTAAAAGTTCTAAGTTTCTGTCTGTAAGTCATACTAAATTTGTCTATTGGTTTTGTTATTTTTCAGCAAATGGAGAGAAACTAAACTCTACATTTAGATACAGATATTTACAGTAAAATAGTTGAGTAAACATGGACAAATATACGCTCTGCTTCAAGAATAGAATGAGTTTGAAGAGTATTAAGTATTCAAATACATAAAACAAAACCTTACCTAAATTTCCATGATAACTTGCTATGTTAGAATTAATCTGAAGTGCATTAAGAAACAGACTTTCAGACTCCTGGAAAAACAAAAACAGTTATTAGGGCACAGATTATTTTCAAGCTTCTACATGAATTTAGATACCTCCTTAATCTTAAATGGAATATGTATTCATTCAGTGCAAAAGCCAATTCCCATGTGTAATTTTGAAAAGTGCAAAATAAAAATGAAGAAAACAAATTACTATAAGCTGATAAGATTGATAACTGGGGAGATTGTCTTTTCTACATTTCCAAATCTGGGCCATGAAATGTGACAAATTTCAAGCAATGGCTCTTTTCCCATTTTTTTCTTTGAAAAAAGATATTGAGACCATGATTTAAAACATCGCATTTCTGATTCGGAACAGGAAGATCAGGATATTTCATGGTAACTTTTTAAACAAATTACATATAAAGTTGTTTTACACATAAACAGGTGCATTAGAAATTGTAGAAAACGAAAAGGCAAATCCATTCTTTTCATTAGATTTCAAAGTCAATTACCAGCCTTCTCACCAATATACCTCAATTCTTTCTCTCTAGAGAGATGTATTCAGTTGCCTTTTGAACCCATTTACACTATTCGCTTCATATTCCAGCCTATTATTTTGTCTGAAAAGTTACACCCAACTTTACAGTATAACTCTGAAGCACCATGTGGTGTTTTGAAGATGTGATAGGACGCTATATAAAAGTGCGAAGATTATTAATACTTTCCTGGGATTAGGTGAGCAGAGTATGTCTGTCTGTGGAGAGAGTGCACACTCCATGCAGACAACTGGAAATTTCTAGTTTTGAAGCATGGAAATGAATTTTCGTATGTGTCAGAAAAAAAGCAACAAATAAAATGACTAACAATCCTTCAAGATAGATCAACTATCTAGCCTAATCCCCCAATAAAGGCTACACTATAATAAAACTTTCTTTTCATACTTACCTTGTACTTTTTTAATTTGCCAAGCACATTAGCGAATGAAAACATGATAGTGTGATCACCAGGCAGCACTTTTAAAGCCTCTTTTCCAATTGCTTCAGCTTGTGCTAAGTTACCTATGATTTGGGAGAAAAAAATGGTTAGGATATTGAAATAAATATGCCCAAAATGACCATGATTTGCTTCAACTCTTTTGCAATTAGATAGAATATATTAATACCCATAGTTTAACTGTTTCATCATTTAATACCACATACATCATGAAAGCAATGTTTACAGTAAATCTATTTGTAAGGAGGGGTGAGTCCATTGAACAGCATGTCCAATGAACATCCTCCATCTTGAGCAACAACAACAAAATTACATTTGTAAAGCGCCTTTCTTGTCAGGAGGATGTCCCAAGGCACTGGACAGACAGAGTTATGGACCCGAGCTGGGGGTCAGTGCCGGGGTTGGAGAAAGCGGAGGGCAGTGGGGGAAGCAGGGAGATCGAAAGCACAGTCGTATAGGAGGGTCTTGAGATGGGTCTTGAAGATGGCAAGGAAGGGGGCGAGGCAGAGGGAATGCAGGATGGAGTTCCAGAAGGTAGGGGCAGAGTGGCAGAAGGCCCGCCAATAGTGAGGCTAGCAAGTCGGGGGACGTGAAGCAGGCCGGAGCCCACTGAGCAGAGGGAGCAAGCAGAAGTAGGGGGGAGCAAGACCATGGAGGGCTTTGAAGGTGAGGACCAGGATCTTGAACTGTATCCTCTGTGTGATGGGACGCCAGTGGAGTTGGGCAAGGAAGGGGTTGTGGAGCCTAGTGCGGGCGAGGACATGGACTGCAGAGTTCTGGGTGATCTGCAGCCTATGGAGGGAGGAGTTAGGGAGGCTGACAAGCATTGAATTTGCATAGTCGAGCCTGATGTAGTGTGAGGTTTCGGCGGCCTGTGGTGTGAGACAGTGGCGGAGCCGGGAGATGTTGCAGAGGTAGGGAAGGCAGAGCAGGTCATGGTGCAGATGTGGGGTAGAAAGGATAGTTGAGGGTCAAACAAGACCCCAAGGTTCCAGAATGACTTAGCAAGGTGGAGTGTGCAACCATGGATGGTGATGCTGTCAGTGCTTGAGGAGGAGCTGATGGGAGCCAATACATGTTCATTGTAGAAAAATACATTTAAATATTCATTAACAGTTTGTATTGCATAAAAGGGAAAAACTGGATTTCTGCAGACATTTGCGAATGCTTTGAATGTATCAACAGACAACAAAAAGATAATAAAAAAAACCTCTAAACATTAAAATAAGTAATTAATGTTTCCCCACATATCATGAGGGGAAATTATGGACAATACAGTATTCACAATCAACCACTGGTACTTTCATAGCTGTACAAACTTATAAATCATTACAATAAACTCTCAAAATGCAACCCTAGAAAAATAACGACTACTTTACAGATAACTTACATAACTAATTAATTACCTGTGTTATCAAGTAATATAATCAAGTTGTTCCATGCCAGACTGTGGTCAGGTTTCAGAATGGTAGCATTCCGCCAAGCACTGAGAGCATCTACATGGCGATGTAGGTCTGCATACTAACAATAAGGCAAATATTAATGAACAGGTTAAACAAAATAGATTGACATAATAAATTAAATGGTACTGTTTTAGAGGTAGTTGTCAGAAGATGACCATCTATGGACGATTTTCGTTTCAAATTAAGATACTTTTGCATTGTAAGACCACGCGAATCATGGAACCGAGTTGATGCTTCCAAACTCATTTAACAGAGGACCTCAACAGGATGCAGAACAAGAATATTTTTCTTGCATTCATGTATGAAGACTGAAACCTAGGATCCAAACCCAAGACTAAAGGCCAGGGTGCTAACCCACTACATTTAAATTCCAACACGTTTAAAATGCCAATAAATAATATAATAATCGTTGCATTTGATATAGGACCTTTCACATCTTCTAGATAATAATAATAATCCTTGCATTTGATATAGCGCTCTTCACGTCGGGAGGATGTCCCAAAGCGCTTCATAGAATATGCTGTAAAGTGAATTGACTGTATATTTGTGGCCGAAATGCAGCAGCCAATTGCGCACAGCAGTGTCCCACAAACAGTCATGGATTGAAAATGACCAATTTATTATTGTTTGGTTTTGGAGGGATTATTATTAGGCGTGTGGAGTAAGGAAACTTGCCGAAGGTTTCACCCTGCCTGGAATTGAACCCAGGTGTCTCGCTCGTAAGACGAGTGCTCTAACCACTGAGCTACAGGACCCGACAAATGGACATACCAGGCGTCCCAAGTTGTAGTAGCAGTCTGGATATTTTTTTCTGTACTTAATTGCAGTCCAGTAACTCCTTTCAGCATCTTCAAACTTGTCCAAACTGTTCTGCACAATTCCTAGATTCATCCAGGCTGCAGCAAAATCAGGTCTAAGCAAAACAAAACGTGAAAAGTACTTCGTTATTAAAACATAGTAAAGTACTAGATAGACAATGGTGGGAGAGTTAGACCTTCTGCTGAGATTAGAAATAGAGAATTTCTAGACTATTTAATTTGTTTCAAGGTTTACACTTTTATGTTTATTGAAGGTCTACAAGAAGCCGAGGCCAAAAGAGGGCAAATTAAGATTATTCATCCAGGTCAGTCTGGTCGAGAATATTATGATCTAGCCTGATAAGCTTGTTGATCTTTTTTTTAAATCCTAGTAGCTCTTACCCATATTAAAGAATATGTGGAAAAAATGCCAGAGCAGAAAGCCCTAGCACAGGCATGATAAGATGAACATTCTGTGTGGTAACATTCTATGATTCCCTTATTAATAGCTCACCTGTTGGTAAAAAGACGTTTTAAAATGTAATGGTTTTAAAAAAACAAAATGATCCAACTATACATAGATTTGAAGCCTATATTTGAATCTTCAATCTGAGGGATATTAAAAAGATGTTTCATACATTTACAAATGTTAGGACTTTGTGTTTGAGTCGATCATTAACCATAATGATTCATTAGAATGTTTGATAGATTGATAAATAAGAATTCAAATCAGATTTTTTTTAATGGAAAACCTTTTATTCAAAAGAAAAAAATCTTTATTGTCAAATTGGAACCATATTTGCCAGCTGAGATGAGGGTTCATTTTCTGTGCCTATTGGTGAAAGGAAGGTCTTTGCGATTACAAGATTTGCCAAGTACTAATAAACAGATGGAACAGGTTGAATGAGCTGAATGACCTCCTTTTGTTGCTGTTTTTTTATATTCCTATCAAGTACATGTTTGATTTGCTTTAATAATGTGACTTGCATCAGAACAAGATTACATTGTGGAAAAAAAATCAAGCATTAAGCATTAAATTCAATTATAGGATTAGTTGAGACATACTGTATAGCCACAGCTTTGGAAAGCAACGTTTCTGCTTCGTGCAGTTTATTTGTTTCCTTCAAAATGTTTCCAAGATTATTCATAGCATGGACATACTTTGGATTGAGCCTGAAAGAAACACAACACACTTAGCAAACCCTTTTGTAACTATCCAATCAAAGAACTAAACAACAATTTTTTTGTCCTTTTTAAAAATTGAATCATAACAAGAAAGGTAATTACCTTACTGCTTCTCTATAATACTGGATTGCAAATGTTTCTCTTCCTCTGTCAGCAAAATTCTTACCAACATTGTAGTGAACCTGCAAAATAATGACTTCATCAATCCTGAATGGAAAGGGAAACTGTATAACGCAGAATAAATTGACCATAAAAAAGTACCTGGGGAAAGCTATATAAGCGCCTTCAGCCAGGGAGTGGAGGGGGGTGGGGGGCTGAAGAGAATACCCTTGAAATCAGAACTAAGTCAGGACTGAGGTCAGGAAACATTTCTTCACATATGGTTGTGAGGATGATGAATGCTCTACCCCTGAAAGCTGTAGGTGCAGAATTGATAGGGATATTTAACAGAGAAATAGAGAAGTATTTCAGTATTAGAGATAGCAAACGGTATGGCAACAGGGCGGAGAACTTAGATTAAATGCTATGCCAAACTCAATAAACTCTTGGAACAGATTTGATGTGCTGAATGGCCTCCTGCTATTCCTGTTCTTCTATGCTCCTATGTTCCAGCTCTCTCCCACTATGTCCCTTTGTCTTACTCCTCTTTGTTTTCCAAACCAATCTCTTTGACTATATGTCTTTGGTCCTTAAAAATTATTGATACTTAAGTTCACTTTCTTCTCATTATTGCTCCATATATTTCATCATCATTAAATACTTTGACATATTCATCCTACATTAAAGGTTCTATATAAGTGCAATTTGATGCAACATTCAGCCCATGAAGTTATTGGATTGAAATGTAAGGCATTTGTAAGACATGCGGAGGCATATGTTCAGGACTGTGACAAACATCGGGAAGTATTTATTTTCACAGAGGGAATTCAACAATTGGAATGGGTTACGAGGAAAGATATTTCACAGCAGGAATCTAGACATATTTTAAGAAACAGCTTGACATTGTTCTTTTTAACTTCTGATATTACATTGGAATAGCTTACTTTAGCATTGAGAGGACACACAGACAAGGCACTTGTAAAAAGATCTTCCTCTGTGCGCCACTGATAACTGCGTCTGATACAGCGCAAAACATTCACAATCACCAAACTCAGCAGAGCGATGATAATGATTTTCTAAAAACAATTAGAGAAAAATATAATTTTAAAATAATCAATTTTAATCTTTAATAAGTATTTCTTACTTTCGTCAATATAAAACCAAAAAATCTGAGAAGTTATAATACATGCATTATTACCTTGATTCTCTTACTTTGTCTGCATAACATGCAAATTCCATATGACAGTAGTATGCAATAACCAGCGCTGGAGAGGTAGACTACTCTCTCAGCTATCACAAAGCCCACTCTGAAGAAAATGTTAGATGCAGGAAGGAACGGTATTATCATAAGTGTGATTCCAGAAGTAAGAATTCTGTAAGAATATTCAACACATAGAATTATGGTTACCTGTAAGTAAATATGTACAGAATAATGTATAACTGGGAATTATAATACAGCTACATTATAATATGCTTCACTAGAGCTTAAATTCACTTAGAATGTGGTTTCACTGTGGACTCCATTCACTGTTGTGCATGCAACCAGCCCACTTGCTCGCTGGCTTTTCAGGCTGAAATGGGCAACTTCCAGATCATGAAGTCACTGCTAACGTCATTTCCTGCTTTGCTGAGCATTAACAATGGGGGAAGTGATATTGAGGTGGCTAATAACCTGGAATTCAGCCATTTTAGCTCCCCCTACTGAAGAGCAATGGCCAACATGCAGGTCATTAAGTCACCTACTACCTCCTGCCGATATAGTCATGTTAATACATTATTTTGGGCCTGCAAATCTGTAAAGCAACAGAAATTATGCTTTTTTCTTCAATGCCAACTGAATAACATGTTGCATTGAGGCTAATGTTACAGCATACAACAATTTCTGGAGAAAAGTTTGTAATCTCTGCTGTGGCATCAGGTGGCTGAACAAGCAGACAACAAGCAGAAGATCTTCTATCTCGCCTGTCCCAATCTGCCACAACCAAACTTCAAAATAGAAAAGACTTAAAACAGAATTATAAATAAAAAAGGTTATTTTGGGGTACTAAACAAAAATATTTTTCCAGATTATTCTGGTCATTTTAAAATATATCAGTGCATTCACATAATAAGCATTTCAGGGGCATGCAGACTTTTGTTTAACTAAAATGTTCAATTATTTCATGATTGATTGGTAATGGTGAATAAACTGAAAAACCAACTGGTACCCTACCTTCTTTCATCTCTGTTTCCTGAGCATAAAGCTCGCCATAAAAGTCCAGTAAAGAAGAACCAAAGTACCAAAGGTGCAATTACTCTGACGTCACTGATGGATTTAATAAGGGGCAAACAGCCCATGGACCAATCAAAACACAGCCACCAGGGACACACAAGCAGCCACGCATTCAGTGAATAGTAGTAATTATAATTAACGGTCTGTCAAAATAAAAAGAAACATTACTCTTTATACATGCATTTCTTCTATTTCGTCAAAGTGACACCAAATTATCAGGCAATTAAATCATATCATAGGACTGCCTTCTATTTCACAGTAAAAATATTATCTCCACTAGAAGGCCTGGTGACATTTTGTTCACAAATAATAGATGGTGTAACAACAGGGTGCAAACTGAGAACACTGCAAGAAACACATATGCCTTATGAATTTGACACATAGTTGCTGGGAGCAAAGAAATATAATAATGGGTGAACTCCAACATGGATAAAGCCATATTCATCAAATCTCCTGATTTCAATGGATTTACATAGTCCTGAATCTACATTATTTCCAAGCTGAAATGTTTATATTGTAATTTCAAAATATAATTTTTAAACAGAAAGATATTCCCCTGTTGCATGCTCTTTTTTTGTCTCTCTTGTACACAATTTATGTTATATCTGGGTATAGATGACCACTGACCTCCTAAAAGAGTGCATGGACAGAATTGGACTCAGCAACATCCTTCCAATTGAATTAAGATGCTCACTGCCTGGTTACATGAAGGGCTGACAATTTGCCAAGGTACACACACAAGATATACGTTTGCCTCTGTTGTTAAATGTGACCAATGCTATTTTACATGGATTTTAAACATTATCTCTGACGAGCTAAAAAAGGGGGGAAAAAATTCAGTTACGTATTTTTAAAGCTTCACAAAATACTTACTCGTACAAGTATATTGTCTGCAAAGGACGCTGGATTATCAACTTCAGTGAAAGCAGGAGGTCCAGTCCCCATGATTCTCCATCTACCATAGAGCAGAATTATTCCTCCAGATGCTATTAGGAAAATTCGTGTGAAAAATCCCCTTTTCCACCTTATTTTTTGCTGAGAAAGCAAAAGAGAAATAGATAGAATGATCAAAACACAAAGAAAAATAAAACAAATAATAGGTATGTTACCATCCCATGCATTATCTAAGTTGAAAATAATTGAAATACTTTTCCATTTAAAAAAACAACAGGCCTCAGTTGCTGCATTGTTTTATCTTATCAAAAGCAATGTTTTTATATAATTTCATTTACTCGTTAGCTTAGCGCAGATAATACTACTGTCATTTCTGGGTCAGAAGATTATGGGTTGAAGCCCGCAATAGAACTTGAGCACATAGTTCAGGCTGATACTCCAGTGCATTGCTGAGGCCCTTTTGAATTCCCTGTCTTGGCAGCATTCAGATGAAAATATAAATTTAGATACTATCGTATTATTCCAAAGGAGAAAGAAGCATCAGCTGACATCCTTTTGCTGTCATCAAGGAGAGGGATGTTGGCAATAATAAATAAGAGCATTTATGCACTTGGGTATCAGTATCATCAAATACTCCAGATCAGTTTATGTTAAACTCTTACAGCCGAGAAAGAGAACTTTGCATCTTTGGCACAATTTTCCACATGATACATCTCAGTTGTTCAAGAGAGCGGGGAGACACCTAGCAAGCTAACTCACAGATCTCTCACACACTTCCAAGCAGTCAGCTTAAGATTGACGGAAGCTGCCTGAGACCATGTCATGTGATTATTTTGTTTGAACAGTTGGTGGGTGGAGGGGAAAAGATAGGGGTGAGTTTAACCGATTGGGGTAAATAATTGTACAAGGGAAAACAAATGTCAAATATGTTGACTGCAAACATCTGTGAAATCCTGCAGGTGTACTTTTACCTCCGATGTGGTATTATTCTGTAGTAGTCCACTTCCCAAATGTAGAATATCTATTTTACAGATCACCAAAGCATCAAATATTGCATTCACACCCTGTGAGTATATAAAAAGCACAATAGTAAAGCTGCATCCAGGTAATAATGTTTCAACTGCAAATAAAGACAGATTAAAGACCNAAAAAATTAACTGCTTATAACCACGTGCTTCCTTACCAGGATTGTGATACCCTGTTCCTTGCATAGCATCGCTGCTCCACACAGCAGCAAGCTGACAAGAATCCAGATGAGAGAGAATTTTCCTTGTGCATCATCTGGAAACAGTGTAACATTTGTGTTAATTGTCATTTAGCGCTTTGCCCCTTAAATATAATAAAACTTTCCAAACAACTACCTCAGCATAATTCTGATAATATGATGCTGCTACCTCTGACATATATTAATATAATAATATTATATGTCAGAGGTTGCAGCATCAAACTTAATTGAATGATATACCGGATCCTTTGTTTAAAGACATACAATATGAAATTGGCAAAAGCAGCACTCCAGCCATATTACAGCAGCATTTTCTCCAAACAGTAAATTGAAAAAAAAACATAGGTCAACCAAAATGTAACCCAATAGCTGCATTTCAAGAAATATTTGGACGGAAGAAAGGAAAAACAAATGTTTGTAGTTAGACCCCACAATGAAGTGTCAAAACAAAGTGGAGAATGCTACTCTTAAAATGCTGGGCAGCAATTTTTTGTAGAGTTCCTACAGAAAGTTTCAACAAATCAGTTTCCCCACAGGTAGAACTGACCGTGACAAATAATAATATAACTTGCTTTTATATAAAATAAAAAAGTCTTTAAGTACTCGATAAAATATAATTGATTAAAAATGAAAGATATATATTACTATTATTTCATTGTTATATAGGAAAAAGTAAATACACATTTATATAGCGCTTTATCACGTCTTTGAGATGTCTCAAAGCACTTCACAGAACACACTGTAAAATGAATTAGCTGTAGATTTTATGGGCGAAATCCGCACAGCAGTGTCCCACAAACAGTCATGGATCGAGTGACCACTTTTTTATATATAATTTTTATTATATTGGCCAGAACATATTCCAACTAGTCTTTCTTCCAATTTTTTGCTATCTTCGTGGATTTTCCAAGCCCTGTTCTTGAAACTTATGTGAAGTTACTGTGTTGTGATATTGGTTTCAATGAGATATATCCACTGATATAAATTGAAAGATTATTATACTACTAAATTCTACCAGCACCACGCAGGAGAAAAATACAAGGTACAATAATAATAATCCTTGCATTTGATATAGCGCTTTATCACATTTTGAGATGTCTCAAAGCGCTTCACAGAATACACTGTAAAATTAAATAACTGTATATTTTATGGGCAAAATCCGCACAGCAGTGTCCCACAAACAGTCATGGATTGAGTGACCACTTTTTTTTATATAATTTTTGTTTTTGAAGTGATTATTACACCTGGAAAAGAGATCCGACAATCGAATAACAACTGGATCCCTTCTTACTGCTGGTAAACACACATTTGGAGCAAGGAAACCTGCCTAAGGTTTGGCCCATCCCAGGAATCAAACCCGGGTCCTCTTGCTTGCAAGGTGAGTGCTCTAACCAATATGTTACAGGACTCCACAATGCAGCTCTGACAAGATAAATTTACTCTTACCAAGTAATTAGAGAGGGTTGAAACAGTTTAAAAGGGGAAAGTTTAGATAAATTTACTTATCCACAAAATTATCTGATAATTGTTCTCAACCTAGTTAGGTCAATGCTTACAATACTGCACATTTCAGCATAGAGGAAGGGGCAGAGAGCAATTCCATTGATAAATCTTCCTCAAAGGTATCCTGGGTACGTTTGCATCACATTGACTGAATTTTTTTTGTGTCTATAGAACTTTCACTTGAATGTGATTTGAAAATACCCTATTAAAAACAGTTCAAAACAAATGATGAAAAGTTATACAGCACAGTTATAGTGTACATAGGCAATGTCAATCAACCCACAATTGACTGATGAATGAAATGCAAAGGATGAATTGCAGCTCCAGTGTGGTTGAAGACAGTTATGATACAAAATGGACTTCTCCAGGGGGATCTGTTCTTAGTGAACTAGTACTGAATTTTACCATGAAAAATAGATTATTTTTAAGAATAATACATTTACTACTGAAAGATCAGTGTGACAAAGAACACTTAAGTGACCCCATAATTATTCTACTACAACAGAGGCTCATCTAATGTGATGAACATACCTAACACAAAAATCTGTAAAAAAATTATACATACATTTTCTGAATGCTTTACAGTAGCTGATGAATGACAGCAGAAAGAACAGAGCACAAAGGAGGTCTGCTCTGCCAACTATCCCAGCAACCTTAAAATAAAACACAAGTTTCAAAAAGACCAGTGAATGCTAATGTTAGGTTTGCAAAGTGTATAATTGATTTCATGCAGCTCATAAACTGTCTTAGTGCTTTGAGAGTGAGATTATTTTAAACTGATGGCCATATTGATGCAAACATAAAAACACAATTGATTCAGCAAGTTTTTTGCATAATTGACTAAGTTTCAATGAAATAGACCATTATATTTAGAAAAAAGGAGACATTATGACAAGTAGAAGTTCTTTGTTCACGGCAGCTGGAAGGGGGTCTGAATGCAAATGTCTCATATGATGCATGTTCAGTTCTTCTCCAAGGCAGGAAATAAGACAAAGTGCTTCTCCACAGTGTAGGATAGGAAGCACAGACAAATTAACCCATAATGCCCTCACAGACCTGCCGGATAGCTCAGAAGTCATATTGACATAGATTTACAAGTGGACTACCCACTTGCCTTAAACAGTCTTGTATAAACAGAATGGTATTTAAATTAGGGGGAAGTAGGGGGAGAAAACATACATAAGCATATTTTCTTTAAAATTACATATCTAAAAAAAATCATAGCTTAAATTTAAAGGTAACCTTATTAATTACATTAAATTACAAATTGGATTTATTTTCTTAAAGCTGGTTCACTTGCACAGCTAAACAGACAGAAACATTCACCACAACTTTCGTCCTTTAACTGTGCTATATTTTTCTAGGATAGTCAAAAGGTCAAGCATTGCACTTTATGTGAAAGGTGTCCTTCCGACGTGAAAGTTCTGTATCAAATGTAAAGTAGTTTAACGCACACACTTATTACTGTAAAACTTGCAGGAGTTGTTGAAGGTTGACATAATGATCATTTTTAGGGGACCTTCTCATCACCAATTGCCAATGCCTCTCATATCAACACAGATGTTTTAGAATAGAAATGACCAACAATAGGAATTGCTCATTATGATAGTCAAGTAAATCCTAATTACTTGCATGAAATAAAAAAGCATCCGAAGTGAGATGTGAAACATACTATAGTATTAATTGGGAATTAAGCCACTAAATTGCTTACGTTTTCTGTGTGTATTGGGTGAACAGCAAAAAGCAGTGCAGCTAAGAATGATGCTTTTGGTGCCATATTTAGAGGAGTTCCTTGTTCGTCATGTGCCAGACCACCCATAAATACTGAGAATACATCCAGTGCAACTACAGAAATAGCACCATGTAGTGCAATGTTGACCACGTGAAACCCAACAGGGTGCAGTCCTCCAGACATCAAATGGTTCAATCTAAAGGAAAAGAAAATGCAAAACGCATTACTATAAAAGTGTATATTATACTTGGTAAGGCAGTAAATACAACAACAACAAAATTACATTTGTATAGTGCCTTTCACGTTGGGAGAACATCCCCAGGACGTCCTGGACAATCAGTGTTTCAGACCCGAGCCGTGGGTCGGGATCGGGATCGAGGAGGGTGGAGGGCAAATGGGAAGGAGGGTGATAAAAGGCATGTTCGAAGAGAAGGGTTTTGAAATGGATCTTGAAGGAGGCATGGGAGGGGGCGAGGTGGAGATACTGTGGGATGGAGTTCCAGAGGGTGGGGGCAGAGTGGCTGATGGCCCGGCCGCTATTAGGCGGGGATATGAAGCAGGACTGAGCCAGCTGAGCGGAGGGAGCAGGCAGGTCGGTGGGGGTTAGGAGGTCGCAGAGGTAAGTGGGGAGCAAGGCCATGGAGGGCTTTGAAGATGACGACCAGAATCTGGAACTGTACCCTCTGTGTGATGGGAAGCCAGTGGAGTCAGGCGAACATGGGTCACGGAGCCTGGTGCGGGAGAGGACACGGGCTGCAGAGTTCTGGATGATCTGCAGCCTATGGAAGGAGGAGTTGGGCAGCCCGACAAGCAGGGAGTTTGCATCATCAAGCCAAGATGTTATGAATGCATGTATGAGGGTGTCAGCAGCCTGCAGTGAGCCGGACAATATATCTAATAGGTAATGCAGCTCCAATTTTCTATCAATTTAATTGTAATGCTTGGAGAAAGGCAGTGATGACAAAGGGATGATTTCTTAAAATAAAATTAAATTCTGTGTTAACAGCAAGCAAATATAAAACATGTGTATATTATAACATGAATGCGTCAATCCCATTCACATAACATTTTTTACCTGAAAGTAAGTACTGTCAGTGGTCGATAAGATTTATGGCTGGTGTTGCTAGCAAGTTTTGTCCCCCAGAAATCATGCTCCCAAAGGTTGTTCAGTGGCGTCTCTGACCTGATGTCCTAACAGTTGAAGAAAATACAGTTAGTCATATAATTGCTTGCTTCCCTCCCTCTTAAATATATACTTTATGCTCTTTTCAACATAAAAATGAACATTCGTTATTTTCAACGATCCTTTTAATAACTGACACATTTATTCATTTAATTTTCATACCATTTTTTTTGAATGGGCCAATCACACACATTTGTTTTTGTATGGCATTTATTGCTTGTTTTGACACCAGAACCCCTGGTAAATATTTAGATTATCATAGTTTTGCAAATACAGTAGATCCTCACTAATCCAGTGACTCAAGTGACTGGGCAAAAGTGACCGACTTAGTGGGGTGACCTGATTACTGAAACAGGTCGGGTGATTCAAGTCACTGATATAATGTTAAGGGTATTGGTAATAGGCAAGGGTGATGAACATTCAACAACCATACTCTGCAATCTCATTAAAATAAAGGCATTGTCACATTTAAAACAAAAGCTGTCATGTATTCAGGTTTCCTTTTGAGAATGCATTCAACTTGTGTTCTGTCAATGCCATAGATCACAGCTAACTCTCTATGCCTCACTGTTTTTCATTAAGTCCACTGTCTCAAGTAAGGACAACTCCTTCCTTCGTGGCATGTTTACATCCCTTACCAAGAATTGGCCGCGGGAGCTCAGGTTAGGCCGCGGCACCAGGCGAAGTCGATTTTCCGCTCATGTCACTCCCGCAATCCCAACACTCCACGCGCCGCGCATGTCCACTCCACCCACAGTAGTAGCATCGAGGAAACAGCGCGAGAAGCCCGAGGCCTGTGTACTGTACAGGTTAGCAGCAGAGTGGGTGTTTATACCGCGTTTGAAGCTGAGGAGGGTGCTGTAGCGGCTGCAATCAATGACCATTGTCTTGAATATTGAGGTGCCCGATTTACTGAAGCAGACAGCCTATCTTTTAACATTGATAATGAAAGAGACTGTGAAAATTTGCCCGCAATTGTGAGGTGGCTAGATTGCCGAGGTGACCACAAACCGGATTTCTACTGTACTGCTGCAGAAACAAGCCAATTTCAACTGATTGGAAACAAATATTTACATAATATTCCAATTTTTAAACAGTATATTTAAATAATTGAACCATTTAAATAATGTCCAAATATTCGATAACGTTTAAGTCAAAACACTGAATGAAACAGAACATTTCTTTTTTCACTGCATGCTGATACTTGAGTCCAATCCCATTATAAGATGTATAAAATACAACTTTTAAGGGTTTATAAAAAACAGAGAGAGAGAAACAAGATTCGAGGGAGAGAGAATTACAGAGAGCAGGGGAATAGTTTCTGAAAGCTCCTCAAGTTAAAAAGATGATGAGATAACCCACTACGTGGCTAGCACTCTCCAATTCCCCGCTTTACAATATAGGCATCATTGGGCAAAGAAAATTTAATGCTTGACCACCATCAATAAATACCTAATTTCAAATGCAAAGTCACATACCTTATTATTAATAATAGCTTCTGAATCATCAAAGACAAAGTCCCCATCATAGCTACAGCCAAAGCACAGAAGTGCCAGCAGGCCTACAACAGACTTTGCCCAATGTTGAGACAGCTGAGGGACTGGTAGAATCTTATCCAAGCTCCATTCAGACTGCTGCATCCTGCTAGATCTTACTCCACATCACTGAAACTGGTATCCATAGTCTGGGAAGAGTAACACAATATATACGTAAAACATTAAACATTAAAACTATTTACAGTCATTTTATCAGAAGGTAAGGAGAAAAATTAAGACTTGTACTTCTGAAATTCAATATAAGCTTTCCCTTTCAATAAAGTTACAGTGTGACCAGGGCTCCCTCTGCCTCCTCGTCCTCCTCAACCTCTTTGACACCGTGGACCACTCAATCCTTCTCCACCGCCTCTCCTCCCACCTCAGCCTTCAAGGTTCTGTCCTTGACTGGTTCAGGTCCTACCTTTCACACCACCTCCACTTTGTCGCGGCAAACGGCTTCTCCTCCAGCCCCCACACCGTCTTGTGCAGTGTCCCTCAGGAATCTGTCCTCGGTCCCCTCCTCTTTACTCTCTACATGCTCCCCCTTGGTGACATCATCCGCAGACATGGGATACATTTTTACATGTATGCGGATGACACCCTCAACTCCAGGACTACTGGCGTCCTGACCAACTGCCTGTCCGACATCAAGTCCTGGACGAGGGACAACTTTCTCCAACTGAACGTCAGCAAGACCGAGGCCCTCCTGATTGGCTCGCGCCAGTGCCTCCGCACCTCGGGCACTGGCAGCATCAGTCTCCACGGCTGCCCACTCAACCTCACTAAGCCAGTCAGGAACCTGGGTGTCTTGTTTGACCCTGAACTGTCCTTTCTCTCCCACATCCGCGCCATGACCGGCACTGCCTACCACCACCTCCACAACATTGCCAGACTCCGCCACTGCCTCACCCCTCAGGCTGCCAAAACCCTCACCCACGCATTCGTCACATCAAGGCTCGATTACAGATACTCTCTCCTCATCGGCCTTCCCAACTCTTCCCTTCACAAGCTGCAGATCATCCTAAACTCCGCAGCTCGTGTATTCTCACACACCAGGCTCCGTGACCCCATCACTCCCACCCTCGCCCGACTCCACTGGCTTCCCATCCCCCAGAGGATCGAGTTCAAGATCCTCGTCCTCACTTTCAAGGCCATCCATGGCCTTGCCCCCTCCTACCTCTCTGACCTGCTGACTCCCTACCAACCTGCCCACTCCCTCCGCTCAGCGGGCTCCGGCCTGCTCCATGTCTCCCGCCCGACCCGCCCTACCATTGGTGGCCGGGCTTTCAGACTCTCTGCCCCCACACTCTGGAACTCCATCCCACAGTCCCTTCGCCTCACTTCCTCCCTTACCTCCTTCAAGGCCGGTCTCAAAACCCTTCTTTTCGACCGTACCTTTGGTCTCCATCCCACCTCTCTGCCTTCCCTCACCCCTACACCACCCCTCCCCCATGCTCGAGCCCCGACCGACACCTGACTGTTCAGCGCCTTGGGACGTCCTCCCGACGTGAAAGACATTCTATAAATGTAATTTTGATGTTGTACTGTACTGCTTTATATATTAAAGGGCACAGAGAAAGAGCAGGAGGATGAGATTAGAGATGGCAGCTCCGTTAAAAGAAGCAGCACTAGAACTGACATGATGGGCCGAATGGCCACTTTCTATGCTGTAAACTTCACAACTATTATTCTATTCGAAAAACCTTTTGAGCTGTGGTTTAGTTCTCACTCGCTCTCTCTGGCTGGGGTTTGAGTGTTCTCTGTGTCTGGCTGAGGTTTGAGCTCTGTGTGTGTGCTTCTGTGTCTGGCTGGGGTTTCAATTTTGTGTGTGTGTCTCCCTCTCTCTCTCTCTCTGTCTGGGGTATCAGCTCTGTTTGTGTGTGTGTGGGCTGGGGTATCAGCTGTGTGTGTGGGCTGGGGTATCAGCTGTGTGTGTGGGCTGGGGTATCAGCTGTGTGTGTGGGCTGGGGTATCAGCTGTGTGTGTGGGCTGGGGTATCAGCTGTGTGTGTGGCTGGGGTATCAGCTGTGTGTGTGGGCTGGGGTATCAGCTGTGTGTGTGGCTGGGGTATCAGCTGTGTGTGTGGGCTGGGGTATCAGCTGTGTGTGTGGCTGGGGTATCAGCTGTGTGTGTGGGCTGGGGTATCAGCTGTGTGTGTGGCTGGGGTATCAGCTGTGTGTGTGGCTGGGGTATCAGCTGTGTGTGTGGGCTGGGGTATCAGCTGTGTGTGTGGGCTGGGGTATCAGCTGTGTGTGTGGGCTGGGGTATCAGCTGTGTGTGTGGCTGGGGTATCAGCTCTGTGTGTGTGTGTGTGGCTGGGTATCAGCTGTGTGTGTGGCTGGGGTATCAGCTGTGTGTGGGCTGGGGTATCAGCTGTGTGTGTGGCTGGGGTATCAGCTCTGTGTGTGTGTGTGTGGCTGGGTATCAGCTGTGTGTGTGGCTGGGTATCAGCTCTGTGTGTGTGTGTGTGGCTGGGTATCAGCTGTGTGTGTGGGCTGGGGTATCAGCTCTGTTTGTGTGTGTATGTGGCTGGGTATCAGCTCTGTGTGTCTGTGTGGCTGGGTATCAGCTCTGTGTGTGTGTGTGGCTGGGTATCAGCTATGTGGGTGTGTGTGGGCTGGGGTATCAGCTCTGTGGTTGTGTGTGGCTGGGTATCAGCTCTGTGTGTGTGGGCTGGGGTATCAGCTATGTGGGTGTGTGTGGCTGGGTATCAGCTATGTGGGTGTGGCTGCGGTATCAGCTCCGTGTGTGTGTGTGGCTGCGGTATCAGCTGCGTGTGTGTGTGTGTATGTGGCTGGGTATCAGCTGTGGGTGTATGTGACTGGGGCATCAGCTCTGTATGTGTGTGGGCTGGGGTATCAGCTCTGTTTGTGTGTGTGGGGGGGGGGTCTGGGGTATCAGCTGTGTGTGTGCGAGGCTGGGTATCAGCTGTGTGTGTGGGAGGGGCGGGGGGTCTGGGGTATCAGCTGTGTGTGTGTGTGTGGGGGGGGGGTCTGGGGTATCAGCTATGTGTGTGTGGGGGGGGCTGGGGTATCAGCTCTGTGTGTGTGGGGGGGGGCTGGGGTATCAGCTGTGTGTGTGTGGGGGGGTCTGGGGTATCAGATGTGTGTGTGGGGGGGGGGCTGGGGTATCAGCTGTGTGTGTGTGGGGGGGTCTGGGGTATCAGCTCTGTGTGTGTGTGTGTGGGGGGGGGGGTAGTCTGGGGTATCAGCTGTGTGTGTGTGTGGCTGGGGTATCAGCTCTGTGTGTGTGTGGGGGGGCTGGGGCATCAGCTGTGTGTGTGTGGGGAGGTCTGGGGTATCAGCTCTGTGTGTGTGTGTGGGGGGGGGGTAGTCTGGGGTATCAACTGTGTGTGTGTGTGGCTGGGGTATCAGCTCTGTGTGTGTGTGGGGAGGTCTGGGGTATCAGATGTGTGTGTGGGGGGGGGCTGGGGTATCAGCTGTGTGTGTGTGGGGGGGGTGTGGGGGGGGGTCTGGGGTATCAGCTCTGTGTGTGTGGGGGGGGTGTGGGGGGGGTCTGGGGTATCAGCTCTGTGTGTGTGGGGGGGGGGTGTGGGGGGGGTATGGGGTATCAGCTCTGTGTGGGTGGGGGGGGGGGTGTGGGGTATCAGCTATGTGTGTGTGTGGGAGTGGTCTGGGGTATCAGCTCTGTGTGTGTGGGGGGGGGTGGGGGGGGGGGGGTCTGGGGTATCAGCTGTGTGTGTGTGTGGGGGGGGGGGTCTGGGGTATCAGCTATGTGTGTGTGTGGGAGTGGTCTGGGGTATCAGCTGTGTGTGTGCGTGCGTGTGTGTGTGGCTGGGGTATTAGCTCTGTGTGTGTGAGTGAGGGTGGGTATCAGCTGTGTGTGTGTGGGGGGGTGCTGGGGCATCAGCTGTGTGTGTGGGGGGGGGTCTGGGGTATCAGCTGTGTGTGTGTGGGGGGGTCTGGGGTATCAGCTCTGTGTGTGTGTGGGGGGGGGGGGTAGTCTGGGGTATCAGCTGTGTGTGTGTGTGGCTGGGGTATCAGCTCTGTGTGTGTGTGGGGGGGCTGGGGCATCAGCTGTGTGTGTGTGGGGGGGTCTGGGGTATCAGATGTGTGTGTGGGGGGGGGCTGGGGTATCAGCTCTGTGTGTGTGTGGGGGGGGGGGGTCTGGGGTATCAGCTCTGTGTGTGTGGGGGCGGGGTGTGGGGGGTATCAGCTCTGTGTGTGTGTGGGGGGGGGTGTGGGGGGGGTATCAGCTCTGTGTGTGTGTGTGTGGGGGGTGTGTGTGTGGGGGGTATCAGCTCTGTGTGTGTGTGGGGTGTGGGGGGTATCAGCTCTGTGTGTGTGTGTGTGTGGGGATGGGGGGGCTATCAGCTCTGTGTGTGTGTTGTGTGTGGGGGGGTGTGTGTGGGGGGTATCAGCTCTGTGTGTGTGTGTGGGGGGGGGCTGGGGCATCAGCTGTGTGTGTACATACAGTGAAGTATATGTTGTACTATTAAGCCATATCTGTATACAAGAATAGAATGAGATGCGGGAACT